GTGTATAAGAGACAGCCCCCCCCCTGGTTTATATGCTGAGCATGACATCACATGGTATGGAATATCCCCTTGGTCAGTTGGGGTCAGCTGTCCCAGCTGTGTCCCCTCCCAATTTCTTGTACACCCCCAGCCTACTCCATGGAGGGGAGGTGTGAGAAGCAGAAAAGGCCTTGACACTGTGTCAGCACTGCTCAGCAATAACAAAAACATCCCTGTGTTATCAATACTGTTTCCAGCACAAATCCAAAACATAGCCCCATACCAGCTACTGTGATGAAAATTAACTCTGTCCCAGCCAAAACCTGTGCAGTACTGGAGTTACAGATGTTCCCTGTCTCTGGGTAGGTGGTAGGGTGCAGGTGTTTCCAGTCTGACTTTTTCAGTGAGGAAGTTCAAATATTGGTTCTCAGGAATATGCAGTGGTAAATTTTGCTTTCTGTAAAATGTAGTTTTGGAGAACAAAGTGTGTCCATTTGAATAGAGAAAAATGGAAACAGATGATTGTTGTGAACAGTGCCCCAGCAGACTTGGTATTTGAACAGTTCTTTGTGGTAAAAAATGTTTGCTTTCTAGCCATTCCGAAAATACCAGGAGGCAGTAGCTCTCACTGGAGTTTGTATGATATATCAGGTAAACCAAACTTTGGAGGCTGCACTCCCATCTTCATTCATGGAGTGAGTGAGATATGGCATGGGGAGCCTCTGGGTACAGAGTCCCCCAACTAATCAGCAACCTTTGACCTGCAGGAATAACAAGTTAGACAACAATATATTCTTCATGCCTACTAGAAACTAGATTTTCTGCTGTTGGTCTGTGACCCAGTACCGGAGGTGCAAGCTGTGGGCTATGTCCCTTGGCCATGGTGGAATGGTGGAGTTCACCCTGCTGACCTGATGTTCCTTAAAAGAGCTTCCCTGGGCAGGAATTTCTGCATTACAGAGTTGAGCAGCCTCCCCTGACCTTGGCCTTTCCCATTTCAAGCTCTATTACTCTTCTAGGGGTGCTGAGAGTCCCAGGTGAGCTCAGCTTGGCCATTTCAGTGTTGTGAAGTTTTTCCTGGTGGCTTCTCTTCCCTTTTTGGCCTTTGTACAGTAAAATGGTGGTTAAAAGGGGATGTAACAGGGTTTCAAGTGTTTCAGTGTGCAATGAGTTCTGCCTTGAGGAAGAAAGACTGTGATGGCCATGAGGCCTCATGCCCTAAAAGCCAGAAATAAACACTCAGTGAAACTATGGTTTTCCTCTCCACTGTCTATGTACCACCTGAAAATATTTCATAGACTTTTATATAGTGTAAGTGCTTTGATAATAATGGCTTTCTATACAATGTAAGCCTATTTGGTATCATCAATATGTTACTGTGTTTATTTATTTCAGTAAACCCACATTTCTTCCTTTTTTTTTCCCCCCCAGAGTGACCGACTACTCATTAAAGGTGGAAGAATTATCAATGATGACCACTCCTTCTATGCAGACATATACCTTGAAGATGGACTTATAAAGTTGGTTTTTAAAAATACTGAACTTTTTTGCATGCCTGTTAGTATAGACCTGATTTTGACCTGAAATCTTGCAGCCAGCATCTTGGTTACCTCTAGATGTGGGGCCATAGTAGAGGAGTGTTTAATTATGAAATTCTGCCATTTTATCTTTACTAAGATTAGATAAGTAAAACATTTCTTTGCTGTAAATTGAAGGTATTTGCTTTTCCAACAGTTCAATCCTAGTTTCTTCCAAAATGGTCAAGGCAAGTAGGCTTTCTTAACATGAGAAGTAATGGTAAGGAGAATGGATATTTCTTGAGTCCGTGTATGACAGAAGGCTCATTACAGCTTTATTCCCCACGTCTAATCAGAGTGAATGCAGCTATGCTGTAAAGGATTGTACGGCACAGAAATATGCCACATGTTACGTAGTGCTAATGGTGATCTACTCCTTCTCAATTGCCCTGTTGTTCATGCTGAAACATAGCGTGTTCTGTTGGCCAACACTGTTACGCGTTGCTCATGTGTCCCTTTTCTTGCTTAGAAAGGGAATATGAACTTAAATCTTCACACAGCTAGAAAGAAAATCCTAATGATTTATCTGAATATAAAATACAGGAACTGGCAAAGTATTCCTTAGGTGAAATCCATGAAATATATGTTACTGATAGCCTGGGAAACAGTAATAGAGATGTCTATGTAGCTCCTACCTTGACTTAGTGGAGATGGGGGTCTCTAGTTTTGCAAAGTTATATAGTGTGTACAAGCACTCTGATGTACACAAGGATCACAGCCTTTTTCTGGACTGGTAAACCTTTTCACTAGTGACCTAACAAGTTTGGTCTCCAGAGGCTACAATTTAATGCTTAGAAACATAATTATCATTATCTGGTAAATAATTCATTCCTTACTTGTTTTCAGAGCTCATTTTCATGAGAAGCTATCATTGCTTTAAAAGTTTGTTTCTTCATATATCTGTGGCTACTTACATTATTCATGATTCAGGTTATTATAACAAAAAATTCCAAATACTTTTATCTATGGACTGTGTGGTTTTCTTTTTAATACTTCACTCTGCCTTTCCAGTTGTAGCGTTACGTGCATTGCAGAAGTGGCAAAAGGAGCATATTGTTTTAAGTGGAGAAGGCACAAAATTTTGAATGTGTATCTTTTTTTTTCAGTAGCAACAATCAACCAAGTTGTGCTCTCTCTGATAGTTATTCTAGTTGAGTTTTTCTGTGCTTTTGTTTGTTCAGATGCAAATTTCCTAGTAACACTAATAAGCATCAGAACTATTTAACAAGTGCATGAGATACTGAGAGTCTGAAACTGCTGTGAATTTTTGGGCTTGATTCCAGAAATGCAATGGTACTTGGTAGGCAGGTTAGCAGTACCAAGTTTTCAGCTGCCCTTGTTAACTGGATAGACTCCCTGTGAAATCTATGCATGGATCCATACCTCCAGAAGGTATCTCAGCTGCCCAAGATAGCTAGGATTAATAATGAATAGACAGGCAAGATCTTGTTTTTTAAAATGGCTTTATCTTTGCCCAAGGGGGCAAATTTACCATTCATCACCCTGAGTTATGCCTGGTTTCCTGGATTTAGATGACCTGAGATTTTTCTATGTAAACTGTGCAAGAAGTCTTGCTCTGAAAATGCAGCTAATTTGTGAGGGCAGGTTAGTGTGAGATGGGCTTGGTCCTAACAGTGTTCAAATGATAAATTCTGCTGTCTAGGAAGGCACTGTATTTTCTGGGATTGGTCTCTTAGTTTCTCCAGCTGGAACTACCTATTGTGTCTGAATACTTGACATTGTTGTTAAATGTTGCTCAAGATCCTTTGGAGCAGGACCTTGAACCTCAGGCATCCATGTTTCAGTTGATGCCCTAACTCTTCAGCTGCAGATCCTGCTGATAATGCAGAATTCTTTCCACAGAATGGAGCAGACACCAAACCACTCAGCCCAGAATAGGGAATAGTGTCCTGGTTTTGCTATGATATAAAAGATCTGGGTTAATTCTGCAGTAGGAAATGATTGGAAAATAGAGGATTGGGTTTCTCTTGCAGACTAATGAAATAAATAGGATCTTTTAACGCTTTTGTCCCTGCAGATTGTCCTGCAGAGAGGAATGTAGATATAACCTTGAAAATGTTTGAAGATTAACTATAGTTTGGAGGATGGTAGATGCTTTTCCCTACCTAACAATGCTCAAACCAGCTCCCTAGGTACAAGGGAGCAGTGGTGCATGTGGATTTTTCCTATCTGAAACTTAAACCCTGCACACTTACGTGGCAGCCGAGAGGCACTTCTCTGGTATCTAAATAGTAATTTAGATATTTAGTAATTTAAATTGCCATTGGCATGTAAATAATATATTTTTCCTACATCTATCCCGTCTCTGTTATCCACATGAGGAAATGAGCCCCAGTCTGTGTGCCAAGAGGCAGGTCAGGGTCTGATGCTTGCTGTTTTCTATTCCCTCCCTTGGGTCCCTCCAGGCTGCAGGGGACTAACAGGTGTGCAGGATGGGTGACTGGGCATGGGGTCTCCAGAGCTGGGCAGGCAGTGAGCCAAGTTAGAGGGAGCCTCAGATGCCTAAAAGAGATCTGGCCTTGATAATAACAGAAATAACTCCACGAAGTTCTGGGGAAGGTTTTCAGCTTTCTCAGGTTAAACTTATGATGAGTTGAAGCCTGCTGTTTCCATTGTGCTTTAATCAGCTCATGTATGACAGAATTTACCAGCTCATTCAACTGAAAACGGTAGACAGCATCAACTGCCTGTCAGTCTGAGTTTTCTAGTTGTTGGTGCATCAGAAAACCAACTCAATCATTTGTACAGTGTGTAGAATACAGTTATCTATGCTATTGTATTTTTTCACCCACAAGTAACCAAACCCCATTGTTATTAGCATACACTTTGCATTAACGAGTGAACAATTGAGGAATCCTGTCACATTATCTCTTACTCTGCGTTCTAGTCAGTCAGAATAAAAATAACCTTGAATGCCAGTGAAGATCAGCCTTCTCCCAGCCCTAATCTTGATTCCAGGGCAAGAGATGAGACAGGCTCCTGACAGGTAATAGCGCAGCATCGTCCACAAAGGCCATTTGGTTCCATGTCACTTCAGCGTGGATGACTTCACCCATTGCCAGATAAGCACTTACTCAGCTGTACTGAAAATAATGAGCAGTGAGTATCAAAAAACTTCAGAACATACTTAGCTCTCTTTCACTTGGTTAAGTTTTATGTCTTCTTGAATAGGAAACTGGTAGACACTGATTGTGGAAGAAAATAAAAAATAATTGCTTTTATATTTTTGTGTAGGTTTTCGTTAGTATTATTTTCAGAAGGTGTGTTAGTCCTTGGAGTGAAATTCCACCTTAGACATATTTAAAGGAGATTGGTCATAGTATTTTTTTTTTCCAATTCAGTTTTGTATCTACACAAACACTGTACAAAGGTTGAAGATTGTCCTGATTAAAATCTTGGAAGTGGATTCAACTAATGAAAATTCGTGCAACACCATTATTATGTGTGGAGCTACCTAACTTTATACAAGCGTTCAATCTGCTCATGAGTTGGAGTGCCTTATGTTATGCCTTCACAAGTCAGATTTTAACAGCAGAGGAGCTTCTTGCAACTCATTGTCACAATTTGATATGCTTTTTTTTCCCCTTGTTTGCCATGGTATCATTAGCGCTCCTCACAACTGTAAACAGGTTATGACATGCTCCCGTGCTATATGTGTTGATGAATATTAGATGCCAGACATGGAGTTGTACGGCTTCAAGCCGTGATATTACAGCTCTCACGAGTACACCCTTTTGGATGTGTTCAGCGCTGAGTGGATGAGACCCCAGCTTGGGATGCTGGCGGAGAGTTTGCTAACCGAATGGCTCTGCTTCCCTCCAGCCAAAACCTGGAGCACTGGGGAAGCCAAGCTGCTGGAGGTGACATTTTTGCATAGCATATGAAACAAATTCTTGTCCTCTTGGGGCTATTTATTAACTCTGGCAGTTTGGCCAAATTCCAATGTGAATAATTATCCCTGTTTTTTTTAGTGGTTTTAATTAACAGTTATATTCATTTTTGGTTCTAGCTTGTTGCGATTGGCTGTTAATCAGTTGCTGTCTTTTGCTCTGTAGGTGGTAGCTGCATTTTAATATGGGAGAAACAGATTCAGCAGCTCAGATGTCTGGGGTATTTGTTTAGCTGTGGATAAATGTTATTTTATCCCAGACAAAAGGAAATTAAGATGAGGACTATGTGTCTGTAATACAAGATAAACTAAGTAAACTTAAACTACCTTATCGTTATCTCTAAGCCCAAATATATTACGGTGTAACAGTGCAGAGACATGGCTTCCACACAGACCCATACTTTTTCCTGTTTGGCACCATGTGAAGTAGGTAATAAAAATGTAATGTGGCTTCAGAAGTTAAAGCTTAATTTACTCATAGTTGTGTCCATGAACACTAGAAGTATTTTGATTTTAAGTATCTGGAGTTCGCTTGATATCAGCATGGGGGACGGCTTAATGTTTTTAATAGTGAAGAAAAAAAAAATCTTGTGTTGAAGAACTGAAGGGGAAAAGATGACAAGAGTCAATTAACATTTTTTATAGACAGTTATGCAGAATGTTTCACTAAGTTTTAACTGTAAGAGGAGGATGAAGAATGTGTGACATGTTAGATTAGAGGTGTTGGGTCTCTTAAATATGTATTTCTGTATCTTAAGTTATTTAGATTTCTTTTCAAGGATAAATTTACATTGCTCGGTTACAGAGTAATTATAATTTCTTTTTGATGTGCCTTGTGCTTCTGCCATATATTTACAATTCCAGCTTGCTGTCATATTTGATCTATGGTTTTCTGTTTTCATTTAAAAACTTAATATACAAAACTGGAGCCCCCAAGAGAGCATTAACTGTACACATTTGTAATTGTTTAAAGATAGGAATCGAATTTAAAAAATAATCAGTTTTTAATGCTGGCGCATTACAACTTCTTTATTAGCTACTAGAGCAACGCAAAGCAACCTGAGCACATGGCCCAGCCAGGCAGGCTCACAGATGCTTTGTTTCACCAGTGCTGTGCAGAGTGTCCAGAGTGGGTGCCTGACCTTCACCTTCCCTTTGGGTCCCAGTGCCTTCTGTATGGCCCTTAGGTTCCTCACCCCTATGTACCTTCTGTCCCCTGTGCGTCTTTGTTTAAGTGAAATAATATTGGCTTTCCTTGCTGCCTAGGCAAATAGGAGAGAATCTGATTGTTCCTGGAGGAGTCAAGACCATAGAGGCTAACGGACGCATGGTTATTCCTGGGGGAATAGATGTCAACACTTACCTACAGAAGCCCTACCAAGGAATGACTGCTGTCGATGACTTCTATCAAGGCACAAAAGCAGCACTAGCAGGGGGCACCACCATGATCAGTGAGTATTAGCAGTACTAACTCTTCCCAGTCCAGGCTGAAGCTCGTGTAGCACATGTGGGGGATAGCTACAGGAGGCTCCATACCAACTTTCCAAGATCTTCTGCAATGAATCTTCAAATTTGGGGGCACTATGTTGGAGATCCATTCATCACTGTCACCCAGGGCTGGCCTGAAAATGAACCTACCCTCAGAGAGAAACTGTGGCATGGGGAATTGTCTCCTGGATTTCCCTCTGAAATAAGGAACAAGCACTGGGGTATAATAGACCCACTCTTGGAATTTTTGGAAAACAGTGTAGTTAGTGCTGTAAATATATGGCACAGAAAATCAGCCAAAGATCTGTTGTTCCCACCTAGTGACATTTCAGGGTCTTTGGAAATAACAAGATGCTTATTTATGAACTTGGGTTTGGCACCAGGAATTGAGGAAGTCCTTATCAGAGATGCCCGTGAGGAACATCTTTCTTGGTGGAAGGAAGAAGTGTTTCTAGTTGTTAAAGGCCCTTCTTCTGTCTACCAGATGGCAGGACAAGATTTAGCTCTTTCCTACTAGCAGTGGCTTTGTCCTTGGTTAGACTTTGTGAGGCAGTTGTTCAGGTGACATAACTTGTCTTAGCTTCCTTGTGCAGAGCAGCTGCCCAGTGGAGTTTTACTCCCGGTGAATTGGAATGTGGCTTTTTTAGCTGAATGGTGTAATCTATTACCTATGTTCAGCAATGAGTATCAGCTGAAAAGATCTTTGGCATTAAATACAAAATGCACTACTATTCATTACTCTTGGTAATAATTTTTTTCAGTGTATGTTCTTCAGTTGAGGTTTCTTGTGCAGCATTAGGTTTGCAGATGTCACTGGTAAGGCCATCTGGCTTTGTTTCCATACTTAATTTTGTCCTAGCCCAGCAAATGTAAGTATACGTGTGTGTAAGTAGTCATGTCTTTATGTCAGGAAACATTGTGGCATCATCAGATGCAGAGAGCCTTGAGACTGTGATCATACATAGTTGCAGCACACTCAATCTGCCATATAGTGTGGCTGAGTGTTTGTGCTCTACATCATCTCTGTTCAGACCTTTGGCTGTATTCCCAATTCTGCCTGCTGAGAAAACATTTAGCATCTCCATTGATATATTGGTAAGGCAGAGTGGGCCAATTCGGTGACCATGAGGCACTGGTTAATAATAATGCTTACTATGAAATACATAGAAACAGATTCATCAGGCAATAAATGCAGGTAAGTCCAGAACTTGTGGTCTCTTACAAAACAGTAAAGAGGAAAACAAATGTTATCTAAACGTGAGATGTTTGGATCTCGTACTGTGTGTCTATTGATGCTGCACCAAGCATGCTGCCAGACTTAGCTTACTATAGACCATCCACAGTCCGCTATACCTGAGACAGCAGGATCTGGCTAACATCTCACAGTTATGGTCTGCACACAAACTGCCTCCAAGGCTGCTGTTTTGGGTGAGATGCTGGAAGGCTACTTACTCACAGGTGCTGAGGAAATCTGAACAGTGTGCTGTCTGGGTAACAGACACTAAATCTCTTTTTCAGTCGACCACGTGTTTCCAGAACCTGGATCGAGTTTACTGACCTCCTTTGAGAAGTGGCATGAGGCAGCTGACACCAAATCCTGTTGTGATTACTCTCTCCATGTGGACATTACCAGCTGGTATGATGGGATTCGAGAAGAGCTGGAAATACTGGTGCAAGACAAAGGTAAGTGAGTGAAAATTAATAGTATTTTTTTTTGTTTTATTGAAGTATCATATGGAGGTGAAATTTTGAAGTATTTTAATGAATGCATCATCCAGAACAAAAATGCACAGACACTGGTTATGCTGCCCAAGGTTTTGCACTACCTTGAACTTTTGTGTTCACTTGCAGTATAAAATGGACCTTTTAAGCTAAAACTCAGAGATCAGCATTTAGGGTAATCCGCACAGTCACCTTAGATCCTCTATTTCATGAATGGAGAGAATGAGACTTTAAAGGTAGTGGTTCAGATTTTAACTAGACTGGAATCTGCCCATTTAGCTGCCTCAAATTAAGTCCAAGTAGGAAGGGTACATATATCCACGAAATGGTCATCACAGGCTATTGCTTATTTCTCAGCAGTGGCTTAGGACAATTTACCTGTGAGACTAGATTTTTTATAAAACATGCCTATATTTTTTAAAAAAGGTTCATGTTATTAGAAAAAAGTGGTGCTAAACTTAGATACCTGATATTGAAAAAATGTCCCTATTTTCTCAAGTGCTTGTTCTCCAGTGGCTTTCCCTGAAGTTACTAAAAGATGCTTTTTTTCAGGACGTACAAAAACGAGGTCACTTATTTAGGAATCTATTTAAGATATGTATGGGCTTGATTCAGTTCAATTAATGGGTCTACTATCATGTGAGATGCTGTAGGTTACCGTATCTGGACTCCAGCTACCACTCCAGAATAGCACGGATAAAAGCTCTCGTAAATCCTTTTCCATACATGGCAGCTCAGTGTGGCAGTTTCATATATGGAGGGTGTCTTGGTGACACCAGATATGTATGTGTGGGCAATTGAATCTAGTCTTCAGAAAATAGTAATTTTGATAGTCCCTTAAAATTCTGCCTAACAGCATGGATTTTTTTTGTACAGAAACATTTTTTTCATATATTATTCACTTGATACTTTCCTTGAAAAATGCATGGATATTAGTTAGGGAATGTTTTCTGAAACGGTATCTAGTTACCGTGGGTAACAGAATGACCTGTGTGTTGGGAAGTCTAAGTAATATGTGTACGCAGCATCCTTTGTAAGGTGCAGTGCTAGTGATGACTTAGATTTGAAAAATTATCTTTATATAGAAATGCACTATCACTGTAGAAAACCAAAGCAAAATCCCATTTTTGAGTGAGCAGTTGTTCACTGAGATACTATAGAGGTGCAGTCACGTAGGGGAATTTATCCTGTATTGCAGGATGCTTGCACTACATGTGCTGTACAACCAGATTTTAGGCAACAAACCCCTTCAATCAGCAAGATTACATGTAATTTAGAGAAACTGAAGCTGGTCTTACACAGGTCTTTATAATATAGGCGATTTTTACAAGGTGATGACATCTGTCAACACTGACAGTGCCAAATCTGTGCTGTTTCCCTGCTATCAGTGTTAACATTGATATGCTGCTGTGCAGTAGCTGACTGTACTCTCAGACAAGTATACTGTGCCTTGTTTCAAAGGTTAGATACTATTTCCAGAGTTCCTGGATCACAGATGGCTCAGCACTCCCAAATTTGCCTGAGGGCTTACTTTAAAAGCCTGGTGCAGACAGTTAGGTTAATAGTTTTCTCAAACTATTGAAATGTGATTTTCAATATAAATCTGACCCGCCTGTTAGTCTTCAGGGGAAGCAAAAATCTGTTCATTGGTTTCTGAACTGGGATGTGTGATGGGGCCCTTGGTGGCCTGTTTGGTGGCAGTAGCATTAGGAGGTCACCTTTGTTCTCACAGATGCTGCAGTATGTCTCAGGCAGTCAATGTGAATTACTCTCATGTGTTAGGAGACACAAAGTAAGGGCGAGTTTGAAAGCACAAGCACAATGGGAAATAGTTCAGCATGGCAAGGGCTTTCAAATTAATGGGTAATATCTGCTGATAATTTGAAACATTTGAGGCTGCTGGTGCAAATAGACTTGATGTCAGTGCAGTGACACTGGTTTTCATCAGCTGGGAATCTGGATTGAATTTGTTCTCGGGTGATTGTCTGGTGAGTGAGTTAGCAGAGTAACAGGACTCAGCTAGTCATGTTTCAGTGCTGTGTGTGCCTAATACAATCTCAGCGTGAATAACAGGGGAGCTCACAGAGCTACTGTTGAGGTGCTTTGTCATAAGCTATAATTGAATAATTAACCAGTTTTAAATCAGTACAAGCTAATTTAAGGAGACACAGGCTATGGAAGGGCCTGAAAATTTTGTAGAACCAAATGTTGATTATAAAGACTCAGTTTTGTAGCATTTTGGCAGCTAATTTGGGACTGAGCTTCTCCAGTATATGCAAAGGAATAGCAGCCTGAAATGCGTTGACAGATGCCTCACTTGCTCCTTTAACTACTGCACTTTGTTACTGTTCAAGAAAACCTGTAGCACTGTCTGAAATTTGGAGGATGCTGCTGAGTAGTCCTGGTGCAAGAGCAAGCAGGACATCAAGAAGAATGTACGATGTAACAAATGTTAAGCATCAAGGTCAATAGGCTGTGGACCAGGTCTTTTGAAAAGCCACATATTTCCAATGAGTAAAGATATTAGGTAAAGTGTCTATACTTGGATGTCTGTATATGTAAATTGGTGTTATTTTATCTTGGTATCTTGTAAAGGTACTCTCTTTGCAAGGCAGGATGGTTCAAACCATCTCTCCTGTTAGGTGTAAAGGCAGCCTGTGAGATGCCCTTCCACTGCCTGTGTATCTGATGTGGTACCCAAGGGCACAGATGTGCAATTAGATGGGCGAATCTACTTCTGTGCTGTGGGAGCTGTATGTAAGAGACAGGCTCAGGATCTCATGGCGGAATCCCTTCTGGGATCCCTTCTATTCTGATTGACTTCAGGGAGAACATTAACCTGAGTGGAAGCAAAACTCATTTTACTAAGGTCCAAAAAGGGCCTAAGAAGATACAAAAGCAGTGAAAGTAAAAGGAAGAGAATTTATATTACTTGGGTCAATGTATATCTTCCAACCACAGTACCCAGAGAAAGCTGCCTTATCTCCTGCAGGTCTGTGATTAAATGAATTACCTTTGGCTAGATCCCAGTGGATAAGGGAGAGCAATTGGTAAGCCAGCGCTTTGATTACAGAGAAATGTGTACAAGATGATTCAGTCATGTGCTGTCACTGAGGCTAGTTGGCATGGCTTGGACCAGCCTTGACACGTCTCTCATTGCTTCACGTGTGTGTGGTCACCCATGCAGAGGAGTGGCTCCCAACTGCAGCTCACATCTGAGATACCATGTAGGTTTGTGAAGAGAAACAGAGCTTTCCACCAAGGGATGTTGGGCAGATGTGATCAGTCAGAGGGGAGGAGATGGTGCTGCAGGCATGAGACACTGAGCTTTGGCCCCAGGGAAGGTGTAGTCAAGCTTAACATTTTAAAGCAGGGACATACTAAGTACATTGAAACTGTGTAATGAGGAATAGGCTGAAGGATTACAGCTAGTAAAGCCCATGTGTGTTTTCTGGGAACTTCAGGAACAGGAAAACAGGAAGAAAGGATGGGCTTGCAGGCTGACTGGGCTCCACAGTACAGGCTGGATTTGCGCATCATGGAAGTCAGCAAGGAGGGGACAGCTCCCACTTCATATTTCTCCTTGAGCTTCCTGGACTTAGCAGGAAGATGTAATACCAGAGTTTCAGGGTTTTATCCTGCCTGTATCCTGGGGTATTTTAGTCTTGTAATTCTGAATAAAATAGTTCTCTGTGTAAGTGTGAACAGCCATACCCTCTGCCTGAGGAGATATCTGTGCCTGCTAGTCTCATGAAGGAGTTACATCTTCATCAGAGAGCCTTATTCATTCGGTGTAGCCAACATGAATAATATGAACAGATCTCTTTCTTTTTTCTCTTGCCCCAGGAAGCACAGTTTTCATGACAGCTATTTTGAAATGGAGCATACACGGCTTAGCTTAAAATTTACTTTTCTTTTAACCTAGAAAACTGAGATCAATCCCTGTACCAAACTGGGGATGTTGTCAGTAGACTAAAGAGTGAGGCGAATTTATAAACTAATACGAATTCATATGTACAGAAAATATGAACAGAAGATGTTTGGAATTCCCATTCTGTTAGAATATGAAGCTATGTAAATAATTGAATCTTTGAAATAAATAGCGAAACTTGTAGGGGTTTGAATACAGTTGGTTCTTGGCAACTGACACTCAACACTAGCATTTCTTACTGATTTCTAAAATCTGGAGCTGTCATTTTTCATGGTTTTGTGTGACTGCCAACATAAATCCTTCCATCTTTGGAAGGGGAAGGAGAGGTATGGTGAGCTGCCCTTGTAGCTGGTTTCAGGCTTTGCTTCCACTCCTTCCCAGTGTCTGCCATCAGCTAAGCTGGGTGTTTCGGGGAGAAGGGTAAAGAAAAAGCAAGTCTGTATGCAAATTCAGATACACAGCTCCTACAGCTTATCAGCACTTTGGGGAAACCTAACTAGAAGTTTATCAGTTACAAAGCATAGGTTCAGGTCAAGCTGAAATGAAGGAGATCTAGAAAGACAACCAGTGATTCACAGAACCTTAAACAAGTTTTTTTAAACACAAACTTTACATGCTTGCTTTCAAACTTTACATGCTTTCTTTAGCCACCATCGCTTGTCTGTGATTTGATGATTTGATCTTATTTGTGGTGGTGGCTAGTTGCGGTGGTGGCTGAGCACAGGCAATCCACAGAGTCCAGCAAATTCCCCCAGAGAAGAGGGGATTCAGGCTTCTAGTCCTAGCAGCTGTAATACAGCTGTGGAGCCATGCTTTATTTCTGGCAATCACTGTTGAGAAGCCCAGTCCAGACATGTCTATGACTTATTTATCCTGAAGTTTTTGTTCAATTTAAGAATCCACTTACATTGGCAACGCTTTTGAATTTTGTCTTGGAACAGGTGTGAACTCTTTTCAAGTCTACATGGCCTACAAAGATCTCTACCAAATGTCCGACAGCCAGGTATTGCTCTGAGTGCTTTACATTGCTGTGATGTGTCTCCTCTCTTCTGCTAAGGTTGAATCCCACACAAACGTTCCCACTGGCCTGAGTGGCACCAGGGGAAATGTGCAGTGGGGGAGTTCTCTCTGGAGGGTCAGTGCCGAGCAGTGTTGGACATCTTCATGTGTTCCTTCAAGTGTATGACATTCACTATCAAAAAGATTTCCTGGTGTCTCCCAACACTGCAACCAACTGCTCGGGATCTTGCCCTCACTTTATTTGGCTGTTACCTTTCAAGAGCTCTAGGTCAGAGAGGGAAGAAAAGATGAAGCACTCAAGGCAGTGGCAGTTTTGAGGTTTCAAGAGTTTCTCAGTTGCTGTGAACAGCTAAGTGAAACTGCTCTTTGGGGGGAGGTGGTCTTTCTCATTAGGGCTGGAGATAACAATGAGCTTGTTTGTCCAGAGCTCATTACAGATTCCAGACTCTTCAGCTTTCCCATTCATAAGTATCAGGTCATTGTAAATGGACAATGGCGTCTGTTAGCAATAATAATGTTTGCTTATTCAGTTGAGAAAATGTTTCTTTCTTCCTTATTCCCAGAGCTATAGCTCTTGATCTCTTAAATAACTGTTGTTACACCTCCGATACATGTGGTTTTAATTGGAATTTTAGACATAATAATATAAAATATTCTCTGGGAGGCAGCGCCTGTTAAACTCAACTGCCTGTTGGAATTGCCAAGAGAAATATATCAAAATGTTTAATGTGTGGTTAGACTAATGCCTGTTACCTTATTTAAATGCACATGTTGGGACCTGTGTATTCTGACCCATTCAGTGCTAGCTGAAGTACCCTAGTGTGAAAGTGGACACTGAAGAAACCATGTCTTCAGTATTTGATCTGTGTTTGAAAACTGGGCTCCCACATTACTGGTCTGGTTTAAACAGCGAACACATTAGCTGAATACCTTTTGGAAAGGGAACTGAATTTCAGTAGATCTGTGCTCAGAAATTCTCAGTAAAAGCAATAGGATCAACGATTTCCCTTCTGTATGAATGGGTTTTGAATCTTAGAAGGCAATTTTAAAAAAAAAAAGGATGCTGTAGAGAAAACTTTACTACTTTTAATTGCAGAATTAAAGATGTCGGTGAGAGCTTGACACTATCTGCTCTGAGAAGATGGTGCAAAATGCTTGCACTTTAAAAAAGAGGTGTTCTAGTTGTACTAAGAGTGTCTGTAGTCCATGGGAATAATTTCATTTTACATTTGCTAAAACTACGGAAAAGAGACTACTCACTAAACTTAGGCCTGTGTGGAAGGGTGTGGAGGGGTAGCCCTGCAGTACAAGGTGCTGGGAGAGGCATTATGTCCAAGGGAGATGAAACCCTGCTCAGAACTTTTGACCCTATGTTGGTGCAGAAGGGCAGAAGCTTATCCTGGGGCAGGCTGGTGTGTAAGGGGGTGGGTAAGTCAACACCAAGCAGTAAAGCCCAGGCTCTGTCTAGAAAGTGGGGAGTGGAAAAGGGAGATAATTTGCTATTCACCTACATAATTACCAGCATAGAAGGTGCAAAACTAAGGTGAACAGAGAGATCTGAGTGTTAAGTAATATGTTTTCCTTATTCAGCAGTGTTTCCTTCTTTGTACTACCTGCAGCTTTATGAAGCCTTTACCTTTCTAAAAAGTCTTGGGGCTGTTATCCTGGTCCATGCTGAAAATGGAGACTTGATAGCTCAGGTGAGTGAACTGTCATTTTTGCTTCACTTTGTGAGAAGACAGACACAAGAGAGAAGTAAAACCCTCCAGTTAGAGTATGGGTAGGAAGAAAGGAACTACCTGGTACATGCCTTAACTGAGCCTGATGCCTTACACACTGATGGTATAAAGGCTGAGATGAGAGGATGGAGGCCCTTTTGCATGCTTTGGCAGAGCGTGAGATGGAACAGTGGTCCAGACAGCTCCTTGCCTTGGCAGCAGATAAGGACTGGATGAGGGGGACAGAAAGAAGCAAGAAGATCTCTTCTGAATCTGGCAGAGACAAGCAAAGCAGAACAATGTGAAGCCTTGCTCAGAGATTTTGGGGTCAAAAAGTGGAGCTGGGAACCTTTATGTTAATGTCTCTTGCTGCAGCTATCAGCTTAAGCAGCATGGTGAGTTTGGAGTGGGTGGTAAAGCTCTCAGTCCTATTTATTTTTGAGAATATTCTTATAAATCTCTGAAGTTTGGGAATAAGAAACCACCATGATCTTCTAAACATTTCAAAAATGTGTGTTAAAGTGTAAGTCATGCTCTCTGAAGATGCCTTTCAGAACCAGGAAACTGGGCTCAAATCCAGTATGTTCCATTGAAATGTCCCGGCTTCCCAGTGCAGTCTTTGCAGGTCTGGTTCCCCCTGTAGGTACTGTCCTCACACTGGAGTGTGCTGTAGCTCTGATCTGTGCCACAGCACACTGAAAGAGGTATCCCAAGCACAGCAGTCAATTGTAAACCTCCCGCTGGTCTTTCAGAGGCCAGGATACCCCTGTAAAACTGAATAGCAGGGTTTGGGTGAGTGTTATTATGACTGTACATCTGTGGAAGATGAATCTTCAGGATGTTGCAGAGATGTCTCCTTGCTCTGATCCCTTGTATGTACATAGAACCCTTCTGAGGTCTGTGAGGCTCTGAGTGAGCCAACTGATTTATATGCTGAGCTCTTCATCTGCTGTCTTATCCACTAAGGACTAGGCTGCAGAGCTGACAGGGCAATTGCAATAGATAAAAACGAGTTGTCTTCGAGATCTGGACAAGGGGAGCCACCTTGTCTGATCGTTCAGGGAGAACCTCAGGTGAACATTTGAGTGGTTGGGCTCTGTGTAAGGGTTTATTTTGTTGTATTTTCCACTATAGGATTCCGTCCTTTATCTGCCTGGTAAGAATTTACTCCCTTTGAGAGCCTGCCTTCCTTTTCCCTTCAGGTTTGGCTGAAATAACCACTGGGATCAAAAGTTACTAGTGAGGTGTCAACAGGCACAGACAGTGTAGTTGTGTCCTTCCCCCACTGAAACCTGGTGAAAACCCTCATTTGGATTCAGGAGGGAAAAAACCACTCATTTCCTATGAAGTTTAGCATGATTTAAAACTACCAAATTATATAATGTATATTTTTAATACAACATAAAATATCCAGTAGAATGAAGATGAATAATAAGAAACTTAGTAAGTCAATATTACTGTAGAAATGGCAAAATGAAACAAATCAAATGGTGCCTGTGATGTTTTGATACATTCCCCATTAAAATCAAGGCACACTCATGGAATTGCATTTCTGATAGAAATCTGTTTCAGTTACATTTTTCTTTGATCAGCTTTAATATACAGCCATGGAATATGAACATACAGGACAGAAAAATTATTAGGAAAAGAGGAAATAATAAAGAAATGTGAAGTATGTTATACATCAACATAGTCACCATTGCCATGTCTCATCAGTCTTTTCTGATGCTTTTATTTAGAAGGTTTATTTGGATAGTGAAAAGAAAGCTGCCTGCAGGGAGGTTTTTCAGGACTATTCTGTGTGAAAATAAAAAATTGATCTTATCAAACAAATATTCTGGCTTGTTAGCACTATCAAATCCTTTTACAGGGGGTAATTTTATTATATGATCTGATTTTATGACTTCCTTTACAATGAAAATCTCTCCTACTTTGTGTAGCCATTCTTTGCCATCTTGTTATTTTTTTAATATGGTTGTAACGTTATTTTTTGTTGTATTTTAATTATCTGAAGTCTTTAATTGGCACTGTTGCATTAATGATTCAGAACAGCTATTTTTAAGAATGCTTATGAAACATGATGATTTTCTAACCAAAATATTCTTAATCACACAGATTAATACATTCTTATTAATGCTTCTTCAGCCTTGAGTGATTGCAGCAAAGGCAAAAGTGTATGTGAATATTAACTTGCTCAGGTTTTTGCTGGAGTATGTTGATAATGTGTGAGCTTTTCACCCTCGGGGACCTGGGATCAAATATTTATTTGATGACACGGTAAAGTGTGTTCGGTAACTTTATCCTGGTCTCTAGGGGACATTTTTCTGTATCACAGAGTCATTACATTTGTAAAACTCAGCTCATTAGAGACCTGTGGGCAGGGCAGGCCAGGGTCAGAGGTATATCAACAGCTCTGGTCCCACTCCTGCTCTGCTGTCAGACCTGGAACAATGGTTGATCACCATTTTCTGCAAAAAGGGGAATTTATTCCAATACCACTTCTTGATCTTAAATTAAAAGATAGGTGAAGCTTTTTGTCTATTTTTTAAAGATTGTCTCACTGCTGTGAAGCTGAATAGCACAGATTTTTTCTGACATACCCACACTGATGTTAAGATGGTGTGGACATAGTGCCCTCACAACTAGAGGACACTGTTTTGCTTTCATGAGAACATATTTTTAGTGATTCATTCTGTAGAAAAAAAGTGTTACCGAAAACCAGATGCCAAAGGCAAGATTTTATTTGATAAAGCGTCAGCCATGCTAAAAGTTCGAGGAAGGTAACAGTGCTTCATGGATTTCAGCCAGAGAGGAACCTGTGCAAGTAAAGAAAGTATTGCAGGCTGGAAATACCTCTAATTACTGTTTTGTATATTGATTGAAGCCTGTTCCTTGGGTTGATGTCTTGGTATCAAGTAAGACTTTCTGGAGGGCAGAGGAGATTTCTGATGGTGCAGCCCAATGGCTTGAGGCATAAATGTGCTCTATCACACTGCAGAGACAAATACTCCCCTGAAATCTGTGCTGGCGGCACAGAGCAGACACTGGGGTGACATGGGACCAGTTTAGAGCTAGTGTTTTCAGTTCTCCCCAGCAGCAGGCTTACGCAGCTGCATTTACACAGACGAAAAAGGGGCAGTCAGACAATGTGGCTGTTAATCTCCCAGAGGATGCCTGGTGCAAGGGTCTCATCCTGGAGTGGTCATCAGCATTTATCTCTTACGTTGCAGGAACAAAAGCGTATCCTGGAGATGGGAATCACTGGACCTGAGGGACATGCCCTGAGCAGGCCAGAGGAGGTAAGAGACTTCACTCATTTTATCGTTCATGGAAATATTTTGTTGAACATGTAGTATTGCAGCTTGGCTTCTGTATGTGCAGATGATAGATGGGTGTGTGGGGGAAGGCAACAGTCTGTATCTCCCACAGCCTCTTCCAGTACTATTCAAAGCCTTGAAAAGTCCAGGCACCTTTCAGCTTGTTTGTTTGCCTGAAATACCCTTTTGCTGCTGCAGCAGATGTGTTCCTTCTGTCTGGGAATGCGCATGTCCTTTTACACTCAGGAGTTGCAGCTTCTACTGCCCCGGGCACAGGCGTGCATGTTTTTTTTGAGCATGACCCTTGTGATTTGATACATGCTGACAAAAGAAAGGGCTTATCAGGGTAAAAATCAGCAGCGAAGCTTGTGAGTTAGGCTTTGGAATAACTATTCATTAAAATGCTTTGGCCGAAAACCTCCTATAAGATGCATGTGTACATATATACCATGCATATACATCCACAAATAAATCTTAGTTTATGTCAGCAGATACATTTGTAGTAGAAATGGCGGCTGTAGAAATATGTGAGAATGGAATGATGCTGCAAGGCAGCTCATTTTATGCAACTCTCCTACAATAAAAACCGGGCTCTGGCATGGTTCATCTTGGGCATCTGGAAAGGGTTTCTTTAATGAGGAGGAAAAGTTGTAGACATGTGGATGCCCCTTAATGTACGCAGTTCAGACCATTAATGGGATCATGGAGGGCGGTAGTGGGAAGTGACTGCTTTCCTTGAAGACTAAATAGACAAGGTCCTTGGGATTTGAGGCAAAACTTGAAGCAATTGTTGTGGTTTGCAGATCTTTATATAACTTCTCCCCAAGGCAAAAAGAGTCAGCTTAATTGGTCACATTCTTCTTATTGAACTGTTTATGTACTTTTTCATTTTGTTGTTTAACTTCCACCTAAATTATTCTAAAAGAAGGGGGTTGTTTCCTTTTAATGACAATAAGGGCTTAAGGAAAATTTGCATTTGCACTTTCCAGAAAGGGATTTTGCATCTTTCTGACCATGGCGTCTGACCACCTCAGTCCCAGCACTGAGATACAGAGGTCCTTTCCTCCTTCTCTGGTCTTCTCTGGATGCGTTTGGGGTTTCCAGAGCAAATGTTGTGATAAAAGTCCTAGGACAGCCTGAAGTGACAGGGTGATTTAAGAAAAAACATTTCACAAAACTGAAGAATTAAGCCACGCGGTTTTGGAAGGGCTAAGTGGCTCAACTTTTCTAGGACAACTCTTGGACAGAAATTTTTGTACCATCAAGTCAGTATTTTCAGTCACAACAGAGTTTTAGGTATTAAAATGTCGATACTATCAGTCCATCTGGACAGGAGGTATAAAACTGATGACTGGGGAGAGGAGCCTCCGGAGCTGCTGGGAAACAGTGCTCCTCTGTCTGAAGATGACTGCTTTGTGTGCCTACGTCCCAGGTGGCCCCCTGAGAGGAAATTGCCTTTACACGTGCTGACAGAGGAGACTTACTGGGTGATGCTTCAAAGGCTTTTATGGATTATGGGATAAATTTAGTCCATAATGCTGAAGTTGCTGTTAGAAAATACATTCACTGTCATCCTTATGTAAAGATTGCATAGGGTAAGGTGCCAGGGAGAGCTCAGCCGTCGTCTCTGTGCGGGGCTAATGTTTCTTTGCTTTGTTCTCCTTCCAACTACTGGGTAGAAGTCTGAAGCGGAAAAGAGGGTGTGGGGGTGGTAAGGAAGAGCCCCATCAGCTTCTTGGATGTAACTTTTCCTGGGGTTCATGGAGTCAGGGAGCTGTATTTGTGCTGGGGCAGCTGTACTCCGTTAGTGAGTACAGCCTGGATGTGGTTACTCCTCATGTGAAGTGTCTGAGATTGGGTCAGCTCCCTGTTTCCCAGTACTGCATCTCTATGGAAAAAGCAGAATCAGCCCCCGAGGAATTGTTGCTAAACAGTGAGAAACATGGCTCAGTCCTCCAGTTCATCTTTTCTTCAGTCTGCTTTTACAGTTAATATTTTTCCTCCTTGTTTTCCTTAGCTTGAAGCAGAAGCAGTTTTCCGTGCCATCACCATTGCCAGTCGAATAAACTGCCCAGTGTATATCACCAAGGTGATGAGCAAGAGTGCAGCTGATATCATTGCACTGGCCAGAAAGAAAGGTAACAGACTTCCTTTTCTCTCAAAAATGTTGTTTTTTTTTTTTTTTAATAGAAGCTCAGTGGAAAGACCTGTACATCTTGACCCAAATCACAAGATATAGGGAGAGGTTACCAAAGAATGGTACATCACAGACTCCAGATATTTACAGCTGGGAAAGATGAGGGGAAATCCTACATTTTTCAGTTGAGAAACTCTCCAGACTCTGTCCCCTTTAAGACTGTGTTGTAATTCTTTCTCATCCTGCCTTCCCTTTTACTTTTCCCTTAGACTGCTGTATCTCTGTTCATGGGAGGGAGATATTTTATTCCTGTTATTCCTAATACCCTAATTCAGGGTATTGCCCTCTGAGGGGTGGCTTGGGCAGTGAACCTGCTGTTAGAGATGCCTTGTGTGTGTTCCTGGCCTTGCTGCTGGAGGTTGACCCTGTCAGAGGTGCACTGGGGACATCTGGGTATTGATACTGCTTGCTGGGGCCATGGAGCAATCCAAGTTACAAGGCACCCAAAAGGGACTTGTGAGCCTGGAGGCAGCCACTTTCGAAGCTGCATTTGCAAGTCAGGACCATTCTGCTGGTTGGCGCTACAAAGCGCGTGAGCAATATGGAAAAGACAAAGAGCAAAATACCATCTTGGTATTTGTATTCTTGGAGACTTGGAGTATGGTGCTGGGGACCATATGCTGCTATCTGCTGGTGCTGTGCCCAACCTGGGAGTAGTAAAAAGGCATCTGTCTGCTGGAGCCCATCCTCCACCTTAATGCCGTCCGAAGTGGAGCAATGTAGAGAACATGGCTATGATTAAAACAGTACAAATTAAAACCAGATCTGAACTGTCTCCTTCTGGATTAGAAAGGGAGCTTTGTAAATAGGCTCATCAAAAGCATGTGTAGCTCAGAGAGCCTCCTGATTAATTTTTTATCATACAGACAAAGCCAGGGCTGCTTAATTTTCTGGGAGCTACACTGGCCCTGTAGCAATGCATAATTATAGATGACTGCATGCAGCAAGTAGTATAATGTGCTGAAGAGAGAGTCAATTGTAATCAGTTCCTGTATATCCTTGCTTTCTCCAAGGTCCCCTTGTTTTTGGAGAGCCGATCACTGCCAGCTTGGGGACAGATGGGACACATTACTGGAGCAAAAACTGGGCCAAGGCTGCAGCTTTCGTGACTTCGCCACCTCTAAGCCCTGATCCTACCACTCCAGATCACTTAAATTCGCTCTTAGCATGGTAAGAAAGACCTTCATATTTTTTATAGGCTGACGATCAGGCAAGTGCAAAAAACAAATGGGATGAAGCATCTAGGGATCAGCTCAGTTTTGTTTAGACCAATCACATACAGGAGGAGGGATGTATAAAGTGCGTGATGGCTATATCCCTATGTTTAGGCTGCCAGGTAAGCAGGCATGGACTCTCCAGCTCCTGATTAGCATGATAGAGAGGGAACTGCTGGCTATTCAGGAATTAATTATTTTTCTTTCTGCTTTTGAAGTAATTCCTAGTTGTACAGCTGGATAGTCTTTAGCACAGGACTTCAAACTGGCTTTCTCCATGGTTCTCTGTTTTTTCCACCTAAATGATTAATACATGATCGGATGACATCCTCACCATCCAGAATAAGCAACAGCCTGGTGGATAGACCCCCATCTGTGAAAACAGACTTATTTTCAAGCGCCTTGGTCATATCTGGCAAGCACAGCTCCTGAAATCAGGGTTGTACCTGAATGCAGAGATATGTGGAGGCTAGAAAACTTTCCTGTTGTAGTTTTTGTCAAAGCTGGTGCAGGGCTGTAAGCTGTGAGCACTTTTGAGAAGTAGGCTCTCCTAAACTAAATTTTAAGTATTTGTAGCAGAGTTCAGTGGCTTTAGCTTCAGTGTATTGAAAACTTCTGACTTGGTAGTTTGCCTTCATCTGGGATGGACCCAAATCATGTAAGTTTACTTGTATTTAGTTCTTACAGCCTTGTTTTTACTTCTAGTTTGCCTTGTGTCTTTATAGGTTCCAGGGTCCTCAGGCTGGAAGACAGCAAAGATAAGAGGTACATATAGAGAAGGTATGTCAGGCAGGAGAAAGAGGTCAGAGCAGATTACAAAGGAGACTTTCAGGGACCCAGGTGGAGACAGGCTGCTGACTAGAGGCCATCACTTGACAGGATAAGGGTATGGGCTGACTGTCAGGTTGGCAGGGAGAAGGTTATCACTAGACAGATGAAAGGAATGTGGACAGCAGAGGGAGAAGTGTCTCATATAGAAAAGAAGACATCAGCAATGCCTTGACAGCAACCCAGACTGTAAACCCATCCCTGAAAGTATTTTCTGCCTGTAGCCAACTGTGGGTCTTCTTTAGCTTAAGCAAAAGACCATCTGCTTTGAAATGATACAGAAATTCACAGCTGAAATCCCACCAGGACAGATTGCAAGTGCTGGAGTGAGGAACTCAACTTACCATTCAAAACCTTATTTAGTGCATGTGGTGGCACTCATCTCATCTGCTGCCTCCCCTTGCTAGGGTTTCCAGTGCTCTAGACAGAGCAGTAAAATTTGAACCCTAAAAGTGACCCAGTGGTCTTTGGAAAATATTTTCCTCCTGAGGTTAGCTTTCCACAGGCTGTATGGCAGGCAGTGCCAGGGTGGCTGGTAATACAAGGCCCCTGCATGTGTAATTCAGGCTTGGGCAGAGCTGCCCTTTAGGTGGATGGGCACACCTGTGTGATGGGAAGCTGCCATCAGTCAGCGCCACTGCTGCAGTATGCACACATCTCTCCTTGCACACGGTGGGTCAGGTTGTGGAGTCCACCAAACCCAGATTTTAGCTCAGCTGCCCTAATGATGTTGCACGGACAGCACTATTAATGAATGAACAGTTGAGCTCTGAGTTACATGTGATTCTGGTAAGAATATGCAGGAATTTGTTCTGTTGTGATGGTCTGATGGCAGAAATGATTTTCCATAATTGAGCTTTCTGTTTCTTAAAATAAGGACAAGGAAGAAGAACTATTTTTCTAGTCTCATCCATCACTATCAGCACTGTAAAGAGTGAAGCTCATTGTGTGAGGGTAAGGCTCTTAGCCAGCACATGTGAATGTGTATCAAAATGTTTGGCTCTTTACTCTATCAGACATGGCTATATGTTTCCTAGAAGAGAGTGCCAAAATAATAGTATGTGGGTCAAAACAGATTAGCTAAAATAGTAAAAGAATTTTTAGAACTGGAATCCAAATAATGACTGTTTTTAACACTAACATCAGAAAGACAAACCGAGGAGTCACAGAAGTTTTCATTATCCTCCAAGCATGCAAAAATGCCTTTTTTTTCCTAGTGGCTTAAAATCCTAGATCTTAAATGACAGCAGTTTAGCCTGCTTTCAGTTTTAATACTTTAAACCTATACTGTGAAACTAAAAAAAGAACTGTATATTTTATCAGTCTGTCATGCATTTGTGGGGAATTTTATGCAAGGATGATGGTAAAGATAGTCTTTTGATTTTCTATTACACTGTTCATTAGGAGACCAGTATTTTACGTTCATGAAAAAATCCTTACAACATCTTCCTCTGCAAGTACACAGCATTGCGCTTGTGCTGTTTTCCACAGAAAGTGTTGATTTTTCACTGAAAAGCTGAATGTATAAAAATCCAGCATGTGTGATGGGGTTGGCAGATTGGTTTTACCTCATGAGGTTTGGTCATTGTTTCATCTGTGGGCCATGCAGCTGAGGTAGCTTTCATCCTCTGTGGTGTACTGCTGCATTACTGCTGCTGCATTATTGCTGCTGTGATAGGCCATTGCTTCTGAACTAGAGATGTGAGATCTTGGTGCTTCATGGAAGATGTAACCTGCCATGAAAGCATTGGTTTTGGTGAAGAATAAGATGATGAGGTATTGATGTGGCATTTAAGCATACACGTATGTCCACTGTTAATTCCCACCACTCCCTCTTTTGGAGATGTTTTCTGTGGTGATCCCTTCTCGTCTCTCAGTTTTTCAGTTGATCTGATGCTCACCCCCCATTTGACAGTAGAGAATATTTAGACAGTAGCAGTGCCCGTGTGGTTAACCAGGAGGTGTTGGGCAGCTTTCAAGTGACGTGCTTCAGCTTCAGAAGTCTTCTGTTGACTAGACTGGGGAGTGTGGTAGATGTCATTAAATGTCATTAAATGTCAGAGGAGAGGAAAAATGGCGTCCAGAGGAAACAACTCCTTTTTATCATTCAAGTGTAGGAATTAACAGCATGGTGCAAGAAGGGCAGCATAACCTCAAGGAAATGGGCCGTGATACAGGGCCTGGCTGTGACATTCATGTTTTTCATGGTTGTGTTCATCCGAGTGCAGAAAAGAGAGAGAGGGTAAGCCACAAGAAGCTTAGCTGACAGAAGAGCATCAAAAAGAAAGAAATGGCATTGCAATCTTCTGACTTTATTGGTGTGTTAAAATAAATGAATGTTTAACTGATGGATTTGGTTTAATCCTATGAAGTAACACCAAGCAGTCATTAATGATTGGGAATAACTGATACATAGCTGCCTTTTCACTGTGGAATACAAGGGTTTGGCTTCTGCTAAAAACTAGATGGATGGATGGATGGATGGATGGATGGATGGATGGATGGATGGATGGGTGGATGGATAGGTGTGAGCATGGTGAAGAACCAAAGAAGAGGCCAAAGGTTCTTCTCTGACTGTCAGCAATCGTTAGGGCTGGGAGCCCAGAAAATTGCATTACAATTATTGATGTGTAATGCCTTTTTTCCTCTTTATTTGCATATTTGTTAGCTTGCTGGAATCTAAATTTATAGGCCAGAATCATTCAGATGTTTCAGAGTTGGAACTCACGGAATCAGTTAAAGAAAAGGATGACAGGCTCTTGGGGACATGGCCCTTCTGGAGTGATGGAAGAGAAATCATAATGTTTTAATGTGCTTGACTCATGTGGTCTTAATAAAGACTTTAAAATACTATCTGTTTCCTGTGGATCTTGAAGAACCTGTCTTCTTTTTTGTCTTTTTTGCAATATTCTCTATATTGGTTACATTCTGCCCCCTTATTCCCAAGAGCAGCTGTGATCCAATTTGTCTCTGAAAAACAAAAATTTCTCTAAGCTGAAAAAAGCAACTTCTTAAATAAAAGTATTATTATTTGGTAGCTCTTTTATTCCATGCTTTTTTCTGCGTAAGACCTCTAAAATAGATAAATCCAGAGCACATGTTTGATTTGCACTATGCTTCTCTTCGTTTAATTAGAGTACCTAATAAAAAATTCTCCTTCCTTTTTTAGTTTCATGGTTCTGTTTTGGAAGGTCAGACAAGAAATATTTGTGTAAGCATTGCAAAAAAAGTATATCTGCAGGGAAGAAATGCAGGGAAACATGCTTGATGATCATGACTTTGCATTGTAAAATTTGCCATTATTTTTCAACATCATTGTGAATTAATTTATCTTGAGGATGCCAGACATTTCATACAAGCTTCCGATCATTTCCTTAATCCTACAGTAATCCTTTGTCCTGGTTAGTGGGTTTGTGCCTGATCTTTGTTGATAAGCAGCCTGAAACCCAAGAGGGCTGTAATCTGGGTGTTCAGGGTGCCCCGGGGTAAAGTGGAGATGTCCAATGCCATTGTTGCTTTTCAGTGAACTGTAGCCAACATGTAAAGGCTGCTGACTGATGTACAGCCTGTGCCTCTGCTGTGTAGGCTTGAAAGGTCCATTCACAGCTAGTCTGAGACCAAGGTAACCTTGGTGATGCCTGATCTAAACCTTTGGTTTGTTAACTCCACAGTGGGGACCTGCAGGTGACGGGAAGTGGACACTGCCCATACAGCACTGCCCAGAAAGCCATTGGAAAGGACAACTTCACTATGATTCCTGAAGGGGTCAATGGAATTGAAGAAAGAATGACTGTTGTCTGGGACAAGGCAGTAGTAAGTAATTGCTTACTTTTATGAACCAAAAAGAAATTGAGTGTTAGCTCAGTAATGCAAGCCAGGAGACTCTTGGCCAATACTTAAGTGACTTTCTAATACATTTCTGAGAACTCCCTGAGAGAGCGCTGCTACGAGGTGAATTGTTCATTTCAAAAACCTTCTCCAGTTTTATAAGCTCAGGGCTGTGTTTCACTTTTGACATTGCATCCCTGTGGCTTCACAGACTCCACCGCTCAGTTTTCCAGTTGTGTCAGAGTGGATGCTTCTCAGAGATGCAGGATGTAGAGCAGTTTAATGATTTTGAAGTGGTACCCATATAAATGTGATGAATAGATTGTTTGAATTTGGGAAGTGTCTCATCATTTTTGAGAAATTACAAATGGATGGCAGCCGAGCCTGAGGCTAGATGATAAAATGCTTTGAAGGAGAACATTCCATGTAATTCATACTGGCATATTTTGCGATGGGGTGCCAGTATAAGCTAGCAGTTTTTTGATGGTTCCATGGATCCTGATATATAATGATATTCTCTCTCCATTGTCCGTATTCATGTAGTCACCCATTCACACACACTCACACCCATTACCTTACATTTCATTGCGCTCAAATGCATCCTGCAAACTGGGAAGTGGTAGTATTTACAGCGCTCTCATGAGCACTTCTCTCAGACTGTTTAATAAGCACTATCTTCAGGGACTGCTGCTGAGATTCCAAGCACAGAAGCAGCATCAGGTATCAGCCAAGGAGGAGCAAAGCAGGGAAGCAAGCAAAAGGCAGCCAGCCAGTGATATTCCTTTTATGTTACTCCCACAAAAGGAAGGAGCTGCACTGCAACATGAGATTTACAGGTGGTAATATTCAGTCCTGCACCACCGAGTACCTTATATTTTGCAAATCTCATTTTTTACCAGGCAGGAAATAAGTGTTTATTTAATATTAAAATATTTGTCACTGCTGTTCTTCCTTGGAACATTGCTCTTGCTTATTGCCAGGGAAGACCCCAAAATATGCTGATGAGAAAGCAAAATGCTGTTGTGTACAGCTGTTATTAAGCCATCACTGACTGTATAAAAAGTTCAGTTGGTGGTGAGATTTCTCCAGTCAAGGACTTTATAATTGGCATTGTATTACTTAGATATATAGGCTTGGTAGTACTAATAATAGAGTGGAGTTAATTAGCAAGAAATGTTTCTAAATGAGTCTGAATCTTGATCTTTTATTTAATCTCGTAATACTCATATAAGTTCCTCTGTTTTAAAATTGTTAAATAAATGGAAATTACTAGGACCAGCAACAAAACACACTTAGCCATCATCAGTGTGTAGAGAAAAGGACCTTGGATAACTGAGCAACTTGATGGTTTTATTGGCTATTCTTTTGGATGTCAGGAGTAACACATTCATTTATTTATCTAAAACTCCCAAGTAATGTGCCTTGGATAAAGTCTTGCTTGATAACATTTTTCATGTAACATGACCATATATATGAAGTACATGGTTTCCAATATCTTCCCAACTGTTCAGTACTCTGATTAGTAAATCCCTATTTTATAAGCGTGTTTTGCTCAAATCATGTTGGTTTTAGGCCACAGGCAAGATGGACGAGAGCCAGTTTGTAGCTGTCACCAGCACCAATGCTGCCAAAATCTTTAATCTGTATCCAAGAAAAGGCCGGATTGCTGTAGGATCAGATGCTGATGTTGTTATTTGGGACCCTGATAAGGTGAAGACTATAACTGCTAAAAGCCATAAATCGGTAAGGAGAAAAGGAAAACCAGTAAGAAAAAAGAAATGCCACTGTTGTTTTTCAACTGTTGATCTAATTCATGTGAGCACCAAATACATGGGATATAGATGAGTGGGGAAACTGCCTATTCCTATTCCGAAGTGGGTAAAAGTTTCAGATGAAAGTACTGAAATCTTGCATTGGAAGAACTAGAATCAGGAAGGATTTCTTTTCTTTTTGCATATTGCACTATTTTTTGCATGCTGTGGCAGATCTGTAAATAGGTGAGAATCAGCAGCTCTGCAGCTGAGGTTAATAGAACTGTGATAAATTTTAAACCAACTCACTTTTTTTGCTTACCTGAAAAGCACCTGATATTATAAATTGCGTGATTAAATCAACAATATTCTAAACTATGAGAGAGGATTAAGTATTTTGATAATACCACTCTGATCAGCTTCATGGTTGGGATTTTCTATTTAATTCAAAAGCTTTGCTGCAAACTTCTCTGCCCTTAGTGCAGAGTAATAGTGACTCACAGTCACTTCAATTGTGACCGTGACAGGTTTTATCTTGTGTTGTCTATTTAAAAGTTGTTATCTTGTTGTTCAGTGCTTTGGTCTTTTATATTGGGGAATTCTTCCAAAAGTTTTATTGTAAATCTGGTAATGTGATTTATATGTTAAAGGCAAAAACCTTTAGAAACATTTAAAAAGTAAGTTTAGGTGATTCAGTTTCTCTTGTCTTGGGATCTGTCTGTATTTTCAAGAAAGTAATAATCACCTGCCCTTTGACAGTTATTCCCATTTAGATTCAGGCTCTCCTTGTCATTTCTGGGCATTTTCAGACAGAAATACATGTGGTGGGTGGCCCCTTTCAAGTTCCCTTACACAGTCACAGCAGATGCATGGTGGGGCTACATCCTCTGGGTGTCCAGCAGCTGAGTCACAGTTTTCCTTCTTATTAAGGCTATTGTACTTCTAGAGGCTCTGGTTAAATATGGCAAGTCCTCAGAAACAAATGAGATAGAGCCCTGATGAAAAGTGAGAAATGGAAAGGAAAAGCCTGATCTAGGAAAGTCTGATTGGAGGCATTATTTAAAATCATTTCACGTCAAAATGTATTCCTTTTCCTTCAGAAAAAAAATTGTATACACCTCTTAATGGCAGCTGTCTAAAACTGTGACTGCAAATATGGATAATAAGTTACTAGCTGAAAGAGATCTTGTACTGAACTTGTAGTGAGTATGTTGGTTGATCCTCAGGCCATTGAATACAACATCTTTGAAGGAATGGAGTGCCATGGTGCCCCACTCGTGGTCATAAGCCAAGGGAAGATTGTGTTTGAAGATGGAAATCTGCATGTAAATAAGGGAATGGGCCGCTTCATCCCTCGCAAACCTTTCCCTGAATATCTTTACCAGCGCATCAAAATCAGGAATAAGGTAGTATGTTGGATATTGTTTAATGTTCTTCCTAGCCATACCCTCTTGGAACCATAGTAGCACATGTTTTTTTATTCTTACTGTACTAATATGAGACCATATCAGGTGGACTATATATGACTCGTTCAAAAAAACGACCACATAACTGGTTCCTGTGCAAGTGTGAACTGATGGAACTTAATTAACACTGTGAACTTCAGTGGGTAGAGTATATAGTTGCCAGTTGGACATAATTGCCATATATCCAGTTGTGCAAGCTTTTCAAGGGAAGTGGAATAGTGATAGAATTTACTTTTAGTAAAAATTCAGGAAAAAGATAAAGCTTTTTTGGGGTGAGGGTTATCCAGAAGAGAAACAGCATTTTAAATTGTTACTGAGCTTTGCATACTGAACTGCCACGCTGCAGAGAAGAAAAGCATGTAAGCTAGAGATACTCATATTTGGCATCTCTGAACTGTTGGTGCATTTGCAGAGCTGAGTATTAGCAGCATTCACAGCTTAGAAAACTTTTCTCTTACATTTAGTAAAAAGTTTGGGAAATGGCCAGGATTAAGACTGGACACTTCTGGGTTTGAATTATATCAGCACTCCTCTGCTGAAAATGAATTGGCTTGATGCTAGTTCGGGGTTATTTGGAAATTGCTTCAGCCACTGAGCAATAAAGTCACTGTGTGAGAACAAGTAACAAGACAAATTGACTAAAACTCATCTTTTCTTCAGCCAAGCATATATCATATCCTGTGAGGGTGGCAGCTGAAATTAAGTCTACAAGCAGGTTGATAGTTTTTATCTTTAATCATTTGTTATACAAATTCTGGCAAGCTGTGGGATGCAGAAGGTCTGCACTTCTAATGAGATAAGGCACTGCAAAAATCAAGTGCACATGAAGAAGTTCTGCAAACAACCAATCAGTATTGCACTTCTTTAACATTATCCACTTAGATGACATGAGCCTTCTCTTCACACTTGCCTCTCAAGGGTTTAGCACATGGGAGTGCTATGTAAGTTAGTGACAATGTCATTTAAATACTGAAATCAACACTTTAAAAACAAATATTGGAGAGTGGTGTCTTATACCAGGAGTTTGCACAAAAGTAACTGGGCTGCGTAACCTGCGTCTTGCAAGTGGGCCTGGATTTTGGGAAAGACCTTTATAGATACTAGGAGAGATCTGCAGAAGGCGAAGAAAGGGACTGATTATTTTTGCTCTTGCAGCTCCCTCTGCTGCCTGCCGAGAGGAAGGGAGGTCAGATTCATGCCCATGTTTCTTTTTCCACTGTTTAATTGGAAATATTTAGAAAAACCCAATGATGGTCATATCAGCCACCATATGAATATGTCAGAGCACAAAGGAATATGGAAAAAACATGTCAAACAAGGGGCTGCAAAGCTGTAACTGGCACAGGATAGCAGTATATATTTATCCCTGGAGCAAGGATGGCAGTATAAATTCCTGCCTTTGTGGGTCCCTGGAAGATAAATTCTTTGCTGTGATTGGCAGCTGCTCTCTTTTGGGCATTATTTTTGTCAGTGTGGAGACAGTGGCTCTTCTGAGCCTGATGTCCCCCTTACTGAAAGCAAGGAAAATGCATTGATTTCTGTAAGAGCTGGATCAAAGCTCCATGCATAGTGTCCTTTCTATACGGTATTTTAATTTCACTGTTAACCTGTAGGGGAAATTATTCTGAAACAATAATCTTGTAAGTGACAGATTTCTGATCTTTTTGATGAGCTTTGAATTCTGCAATTAAATGGCTTCAGGCTCTTTCTGAAAATTAAACTGTTTTTTTTTTTAAATATTATTTTTTAGATTCCTGTGATTTTAAGATCAGTGAAGCTGTTTTGATTGTCTTTTCTCATATTCCTTATAGGACCTGTACAGGAATAAAATCTAGAGACCTCAAACTGAAATCAAAGCTCAAATGACAGATACTCCATTGACAAATAATGAAAGATGGGTCCCATGCCACAGTCTAGCATATAATTGCTTTTCTAGTTGATGACAAGCAGTGGAAAATTTTGAAATTTTAATTTAAAAATTGCCACCACTTTTCAGTGAGTTCTAATAAAGATAATGAAGTATCTGAAGGGGAGAAGCAGAGAAAATATTGCAACCAGTATAGTGGGTATCAGTCTTGCAATAACTGAAGTGGGATTGAGCAGCTGAACCAACCCTGCTGAATAGCCTCTGAATGGAGAGAAGCCATGGTGACTGATCTTACTTAAAATAAACATCTTAGGTTGGACCTGTTCCTTTGAATCCCGTTTCTGCCATTCACTGTGAAGGAAGCCTAATAAGGATCTTTCTCAAAATTTATATATATATATATATATATATATATATATATATATATATATATATATA